TATATATATATATATATATATATATATATATATATATATATATATATATATATATATATATATATATATATATATATAGCTATGGTTAAGTTAAATTTATTTCTTATGTCATATAGTAGAACCAGAGATGACTTGGTTACAGTTTTTCAATTCGCGTCTGATATGGCCTCATTTTTTTGTATTCCAAAACAGAAAATTTACGAGGACACTCTGAAAAGTTCAAATGCCCGGAAGAAATTACTTGTCAGCTGGTTATCAACCTTTCCATCGAATCATCAACGAATGGAATTCATAATATCAACACGTGATTGAAGAAATATTTGTCGACTCCTTCGGAATAAAATTGGATCAACTAAGAAACCACCATTGCCAGGACTAACAGAGGTCACCCAGCCTTCTATCCTTTCCAAACTGAAATTGAATAACTATCTAAAAAGCACAAACGGGTGAGATAAAAATAAGTTAGGATGGGAAACTTTGCACATGAACTTAAACAGTATTAAAGAATGTAAGTACATTGTAAGAATTGACTGAGTGAAAGTTACGAGATATTAAAGGCTTTTCATTTGTACGAACACGTACTCAGAGCGGAGTAATTGCGATTACAGGTGGGGGGTGGTTGAAGTTGTATCTAAATGACTGTAAAAATACACAGTTCAATCACTCAGTAAAAACAAATGATAAACGCGTATCCTGCACAATTATTGAACATAGTTGAGATGTGTCATACAGTTGATTTTAATTCAGGTTTAGTGTGAAAGTTGTCTAGGGTAATCCTTAGCTTTGTGAATGCTACATATATATGAAAGTCGAAACCCACTTTTTTATACCTGAATATAATAAGTATTAATACCAATTCTATTTCGGCAATCTTGCTTTAATATTAAAGTATACAATAATGTGGTCCATATCTCTTTTTCTCATTATTTTCACTTTTTCTCAAATGTCTTCACAATGATTATGATTTTCTAGTATTTATTTAACAAGTGTTTCGTCTTATTCGGGACTTGTCAGCTGAAAGTACCTGCATCCCAGAGTCGATGTTTACCCAGAGATTCAAACTCCGTACCGTTTACTCCAAATGCCATTACGTCATCCACTCAGCTACTGAGTCCTGATAGCCATAGCTTGTGCAGTGGGGTGAAGTTAAAATTCACGTTCGTTTTGTTTACTTGAATCTTCCCATTGATAATTAACATTGCAATTGATCAGTTTCTTGTTGGCATATATGTATCCTGTGCGGACTATCTTGATATTACCATCAATCACAAGCTTTATAAGCAAAGATGGTTAGTGAGAAGATACAAACAAACAAAAACAAGTGAATTTGGCACAAAATGTTTCACAGATAGCTGAGTTTTTTTAAACTTTATATTTGATTACATGGTTATAATCTTTATAAGAGTTTCCATGATCTTATTCAGTGTTCATTAAAAATTCAAACTAATCAATGTGTGATCTTTACAAATCTTTGAAATACTGATTACCTACAACATATTGAAAGGGAACTTTTAAATTGTTCGATATATTTTATCATTCATGATCAATATGACATATTTTTCGTTGTTGAATATTTCTATGAATTTCCTGTTTTTTACTATCTTTGATTTGATTTTTTTTTTGAAAATTGAAAACGTATACACAAAGATGTCTGCGAATCGTTCATCGGTTTACTTTCAACATTGAATCAAGGTACTTTAGACATGTATAAGTTTTGTACAGTTCGTTTTTTTTTCCATACAGACTTGAAGAATTTATTTATTCCATTTGTTTAATAATATTCAAAAGAAATTCAAATGTTATCAAAGATGCTTTTAAGTAATGTGATCATTCATTGCATTGGAATTGTCTAAGATATAAGTCATAGATATGAATCTATTTTATACTTTTATTGTGTAAATTTAGATCATCGTAATCTGAATATGTAATGATGTTATATTACAAGTCTTATGCATAAACAGGCATAAGCAAATCTATGAAGAAACCCTTAAAATTCGAAAAGAAAACGTATAAAATAATCTGTTAAAGTGGTCAGTTTAATTAATCATAGAGATCATGAAGAAACATAAGTAAATTCAAATCTGAAAATAAAGAACTTCATTCTAATATTTACTTGATTATTCTTACGAATATCTGGATGTGCTCATTACCGTTAGAAAGAATAATACATGACATCTAAATATATGTTCTTTGCGAACTGTTTATTTTTTTTGAGTTTGTCAGATTTATCTCTTGACTAGTGTAGTTCAAACGGATTTGTTGTGAGATAGTAACTCACTGATGACAATGGTGGACCATGGCAAAACTTTGTGGAGTGGTTGATGTTAGATATTACCACCGCTGAATACCGGCCAGCTCAGTGGTCTAGAGGTTAAGCGTTCGCGCATGAGACCGATAGGTCTTGTGTTCGAATCTCGCGGAGCGGGATCATAGATGCGCATTGCTGAGGAGTTCGACACTACGACGAAACAGCCGTCTAATGTTTCCAGGTTTACCATGTTAGTCTAGCTTCAATTGACTCATGAATTCAGCTATCAAAAATTACTATAATATCCACAAAACTCCTCTCGATATATTGTTTATCTCCTGAGATGTCATAGGTGATTGTTAATATAATTACTTAGTCAAATATTCGCCACTTTTCTTAAACAACTTTCGAATAATCCACAATCACGGTTAGAATATAAATAGTAACGTTGAGATACGTTACCGTTAACAATCTTTCCTAATATCTTCATAAATGTTTATTCTTTAATCGAGATTTGAACGTTTAAATTCATTATCGTGTTTACAAGACATCATAAACCTATCATCCGAATGATTTTTAAAGATCTTAGTAACTAATTGTAATGTAAAGTCCATATCATTACATACAAACAGTGTTCAAAGAAATCTTATATTTCTATAACAATCAAATCTCTGTTACATAATTCATATTTGTAATCAAATTCTATGTAATAACTTGTAATATGATCACTAGTCAAAAAGCTTTTGATAGACGATCGAATTGATACTGCAGAATTCTGAATCACAGTTTCATGATAATTCTCCTTTCTTTTAAGTTCACCTGAACCATTATTTAAATTTCAACTTGAAGGATAATATATATAAGGTTAGAGGTAAAGATATTTGATACTAACACGTTAAAGTAAATATTTCGAACCTACGGGAAGTCAAAATTCAAGTACCCAACTATAATAACTGACAGGTACAGAAGGTGATATGGCTTTGAATGAAAACCCATCTAGCGTGGAATTAAATTTTTTATAAATACAAACCTGTTTGTTAATTATCAGCAGTGTCCAAGGTAACAGGAACTGCAGTGCAAGATATTTATGAAGATTTTCACCTTTTATTTTCAACAACTTTTGTACTTCAAAGCCTCCATTAAGTTGCGTGTAAAGTTCTTAACATTGATGTTGACTAATATAGTTTGATATGTTATGAGAAACACCATTTCTGTTAAGATAACTGATATATCTTTCAGACAAAGATAAATCCATACTAAACATCGATATCAAGGTATCCTATGAACTCTCTACAAACACCTTACAAGATTCTGTAGCTATATTAATGAATATAATCTGATGAATCAAGAAGATCGTTAATGAATCATCTCATTTCACTCATTGTCACGTCATTTATCTTGTTAGCAATATCTTTAAAAAAAAGTTTCAAAGTAGCATTTTTAGGTTTTTCTTGTTTTGTGTAGCATATTATTTGTATTGTTACTTACTTACTTACACCTGTTACTCCTAATGGAGCATAAACCGCCGAGCAACATTCTCCAACCCCTTCTGTCCTGAGCCTTCTTTTCTTATTTGTATTGTTATTTTAGTGTATTTGGTTATCTCGTATATTATTGGTATATTAAAAGAGGTAATACATTTAAGTAATGAATTGTATTTAGCTTGTAGTGCTAGTCATTAGTTTTAGCCCATAATATATCTTATTCTAGTTTCCGGACATTCCATTCTATTCATTCTACTTGAGTCATGTTTTGACCTTGTTAATTATTCGCTTATCAGTCTTGACTGTTTTTATATGAGCGTATATGTGTGTACACTTCATGTCCCATGACTCATCACATGTCTGTAGTTTATTTTGTCTGCCTATAAATATTGAGTAATGCCCGGCTTGAATTGGAGTTGGCTTCCCAGCCATCTTCCATACGTGTCAAAATTGCTTTACTATGGCTCTCGCTCGCTTGCTTGCCTTTCGGCACAACTCTTCTATGCTTGTTTAACGCATCTGTACATTTGGATATATGTGTGTGGTCTCGCAATAAACGTAATCAACACTCCGTATTTGCCTTCTGATTAATATACCGTTGGGACGTTATATAGAACGGTTATCAAGACGAGCTGTATACGAAGTTTAAGAATTATATCGAATACCGACCACCACAAGCTCATTGTTTGTATTTTAACCTTTTTAAATAGTAAAATCATATTTTGTAACATATACCTTTTACTGTGATAGTAAAAATATCGATATAAACTGGATATCTTGTGAAATATCCATACAGAGTTTAAAAGTCAATAAATTCAGAAAATTCGACCTGGAAATCGTCTAATAGTATTAAAAGAAGAGGGGAGTAGTGATAATACATTAAGAGCCATTCCGGTTAGCGTTCTTTTAGCGAGTTAGCTTTTTACGAGATTGGGTCGCTAACTACGTGCCCAACCCTCCTCTTTTATCAGGGCCTGGGACCATCAGTAACCCCAGAGGGGTTCCAGGCGGAGTTATCAAGAGCTATTACAGGATATTAATTCTTATTTTCTTATCATAATACGAAATTTGTACTGTAGAGCTATGGTAATAAACATAATTTCTGATTACATCATACTTTTTCTCTGCTAATTTACATTACATTTTCTATGAAATAAAATCAGAAAACAGTTATTTGGAAAAAAAACGACTATATTTTGATTTGATTCAAATCATGTTAGATAGTGAGAGATTTTCCTATCTCAAAAAAAACATACACACATATACAATCAGAAATCTTTTAGAATTGATATATTCCTTTTGTCTACTTTACCAAAAATAATTTTTGTTGTCTCTTCAACCTCTTCAATATAGTCACCTTCGTCAGCGGCTTTCTCTATAGAATAAAAAAAAAAGATAATTTAGGTCGTGAAAAATCATTAATTGAAATAAATTGTATAATTATCGTTATTTTAATGGTTGAAATCATGAATCAATTGAAGCTAGACCAACATGGAAAACCTAAAAGCACTGGACAGTCGTTTCGTCCTATTGTGAGACTTCTCAGCAGAGATAGTAACTCACAGAAAACATTGGTGGATGTGTTGTTCAGTTTCGTGGATTAGTTGGGTTGGTTAGCCTATCGCGCCAAGGTCGTAATCTGGGTTAGATAAGTATCTTCAGCACCAAAAGTGGGTAGACAGATCAAAGGACATAACAAGTTGATTCATTAAAATGAATTACAAATTAATGACAAATCTAATAGATCTGTAAACATTTCAAAACTACAATAACAACTGCGATCATATAAGTTTGAATCTTATACTTACATGTCTACTGAATCATTTTGTTTAAGGAAATTATATACGATAGTTTGAAATATCTTGTAGCTATTTTCCATCAATTTTCACTAAATATTTATGCTTTCATGACTACATCAAGTTTAAACACGTGTAATGCAATGGTTTACTGACCGTTGTGTTTTACCATGAGGTAACATCTAAAGTATTATTACAAATCAATTAATGAGTAGTTTACATATTAGTCTTTCAAACTGAGAAGAATGTCATATATGTGCTAATATTCGATTTTATATCATTCACTTTAACACATAGATTAAATTCAGTATTTAGGCCTGATTTCATGCAGTGTATATATTTATTAATAGCAGATTTATGTAATGCTAAAAATTGAATCAATGCAATAATAGTAGCTAAGTGGATAACGTGATGGCATACGGTACTGGGTTTGAGTCCCAGAATGAGCATAAAATCTGGAATGCATGTACATCTGACTGACGATTCCTAAATATTGGGCGGCCTGCTTGAGCATCTGGGCTACCTGTTCCTGTCATCTAAATATTTCAACAAGTTATCTATTTTTGTTTGTTTTAATATATCATTATGTATATTAATCGCATAACCTATCCTGGTGCATTTCTGAAAAGTGTATAACTTTTCGTTGTCAAAGTTACAAAAAGCTCAATAAGAGATAATGTGGTCGCTGGCAATATGCAGAGAAAAGAATATACATTATTCAGATGTTTATTTACTGGACTGCTAACATCTAACTGGCTATCACTCAATATTTATCGTCAGGATCGACCCAGAAGAAAGAAACGGAAACTTGTTGAAATACTTTGTGCTGAGAATTCTATATTGTACCGAAAATATAATATTGAATAAAGCTTATAATAATAATAATAATAAACAGGATAAAAGGTACGTCCTGGATTCCACCACCATTTTTGATCATAATGATTGTACATTTAATAAATATTTTAATTTAAAACTAACTGTGACTATTATCGTTTATCACTATGGCGATTTGTAGAGATAGTAGTATTTTCAAAGTTGAATTCATGAGTTAATCTAAGTTAGACTACCATTGAATATCTAAAAGCACTCAAGAGCCGTATCGTTCTTATCGTTTGGTTTGATTTTGAAAGATTTCTATGATATAATTATCAATTTTTAGAATATATAAATCAAATAAAAAGCATTTCATTTTATTATCATTACCTTTGTAATAACGTTTAAACATTTTTCTAATTAATGAAACAGGACTATGATTTTTCCCTTTTGTTACCACGGCAACTTTTAACCGAGTTTCTTCAATGATATCTAGAATAAATAATTATGTTGAATGTGTCATTAATTTTAGGGTTGTATATATATATATATATATTAACAATCATAAACCAATTCAGTTGGATATATTCAAACAAGGAACTCCTTACGGAACACTGCTTTTATTAGAAATAAATATCATTTAAGAGTGAAACTATGTATATCTAATCCAATAAATTATGATCATTCTATATGCTGAACTTAATAAATGAGTCTCAAATCATTGATTTAAAATAGTATACTTTACAGGAGGCTTGGCAATTCTATATTTTATTTTCTTTAGTGATAATAGTAGGTGAATATCGTTGAGAAGTTGTGAACTAAAACAAAATCACATGTTAGATTCACTACAAACTGAACTACTCCATGATAAAAACGTTTTTGGTTAAGATCATGAACCGATTCATGTTAGACCACCATTGAAAACCTGTAAGCAAAATAGAATGAAACGGCCATCTAGTGCTTCCACGTTTTCACTGTTAGTCTACCAACAATTGGTTCGTGATTTCAATACAGTTTATTATCTGTTTTAATGAGTTTATAGGTAACAGTGGCAAGACTGAAATTGACAGTTTCAAATAAATTGAACATCGGATAAGGAAATAATTATATAATTTATATTTTGTTATGTCTCAATAAGAAGAAACATTGTATTTCAGATGTTTCGTGACTTAATGTTACTCACTTCTTCAGATTAAGTAAAATACACTGAATAAGTGATTAACATTAAGTTACGAAACATCATAAATATAATTTTCCTCCTCATTAAGATATAACAGTATGTATCACAGCTGTTTTAATAATACATATGTTTGATTTTAATGCATTATTTGAATGAATAATGTCTAATTCAACATGCTTCTTTTTCCCAATAAAAAGCATTCTATTTATATTAATTCAATTGATTTGAATGATGAGATTATGTCTCATTGTGTATCACATTATTGATACTTAATCTTTAGTTATTATAAATAATATTAGCCTATTTTCACCTTCATTACATATATATATATATATATATACATTGAATTATAAACTTTCTAGGGTAATCGTTCTCCCTAAAAGTGTTTAGCTCATCGTCAATTATATCCTCACAACATATAGTGCATATTCGATAACTAAGAATTTTAATCAAGTTTCATTTATACTATAGAGGTAGGAATAAAGCTAAGTAAATACATATATTGCCCAATCCAGTTATTATTATGTTGCAATGTGTTCATCATTGATTCGTATACTAGCTGATATTTTTCTAGCCAAACTAGGAAATGGTTTACACTAATATAAACATTATAAGTATAAGATTTATACGGAATGACTTACCATCATAATACTCATCAATACTAGCGTTTTGACAATAAACATAAGACAGGAAAATGATCCATAATGAGATCTAATATAATAATGAGAAAAATATAGTTTCATTATTATAATTAAAATATAATTTACTGGTAATCTGATGAATACGTTCATGTATTTTATATAACAGAAAATAATTAACCATTTTCATTGCATAGTAACTAATTAATTATATATACTTATTCATAATACATTTCTCATGTAGATTTAATAAAAATTATTGATTAATGAATACATGTCATTTTACTTTCTCATTTGACATGTAACTTTATTATGAATTAATCAATATTATTATTATGTAATTGACAATTGTAATTGAAAACTTGAGTTTCTATATGTCAGTTCGTCAGGATAATCTATGGGATAGATATAATTATAGGTGACTTTTTTTTCAATATCAATCAATAATTGTCAACTATAATGTATGAATTTAGTTGAAGTAAGCTATTAACACCGTTGGATGCCGAACAGTTTAGTGGTCTAAAAGTTAAGCGTTCGAGCGCGAGACTGATAGTTTCTGGGTTTGAATCTCTCACAAAGGGGGGGGCGTGATTGTTATGACCTTGATGTCTGACTTTCTATCACGTGACTTATCGACCAGTCAGAATACGACTTATACAATTTCGTACTATGCCAAACCAATGACGTTCAACCGGTATGAGCAGTTTAGCGTCCTGATTGGTCCTATGTCCTCCTAGCCCTTCCACTTGAGTCCAGAACACAATACCAGCTTTTGTAGTATGAATCGAATAGAATAGAATCGTTTATGTCAGACATATTCGGTTTATATATCAATCAGACAGAGCACAACGTACCATAAAATAGAAAATAACATGTGTACACAAATAAGCCAAAAAGTGGCTGTGAACGAGGGGGACAGTAATTAATAGACTGAGTACAGCTTAAGAATCGTAAATCGTACAATAATAAAATATAAGTCAAAATAAAGCTTATGATAAGAGGAATATAAATATACATAATCTAATTATTCAATAGTTTTACAATAAGAATATTTATAGAATATTAATCGATTAATAGTCCTCGGGAGTTACCTGTAATTTAATCTTCACCGGGATATAACAGTGATCGTGGATGCGCACTGTTGAGGAGTCCCGCAATAGGATGAAACGGCCGTGTAGTGTTTTCAGGTTTTCCATGGTGATCTAGCTTCAATCGACTCATGATATCAACTATTGATATTATAATTATTATACAGAGTGGTTATCATATTGTTTTTGTGTACTTTCTTATTATATTTTTCTTTGTTACGAATTACCTTTTACTTGTCTTGTTGACTTTTTTATTTTCATATATAAATGTTCTTAACAAGTATATTGTGTATGATCAGATTGTTCGAAATGTATTACACAAATATGTCATATAATTCTGATAAACTTCGTCAACTCATCACATTATCGAAATATGATGTATGAGTCCAACTTTAGTTAAAGAATATGTGAATTATAATAATTTTGATGTTACCTCGTCATTTGAACTGATAGAAGTCTATAGATAATGATGTCATCTGTCTAGAAGTTTATAGTATCACCTTCAAACTAAGTGATATGGCATCAATCAAAATGAAGCATGTTAATTTACATGTTAATTTGTGCTAAATTGTAATGAAAAGTGGTTCAAACCGCCTTTTATAACTTTAATAAAATTTGGCATCAAAACATTAACCCAATAGGACATAAATCGATATGAAGGGATTAGATTAATTTATTCATTATTATTATTGTTCAACAGTAATTCTGTCTAGATTCAATGTTATAATTACTCAGTGCAGTATTTGTTTCCGTTTTCCAGTGTGATATTTTGTATAACATATGATATTCTTGTATTCAATTGACATGAATTAAGCTCAGAACGACATGCACCATATGATCTGTTATAACTAATAAGTATTTTACATATATGTGATTTTATTCTTATTATTAGTCAAAATGGGTGTACGAATCACTGATAAACCATGAACTGTACCAGTCTTTGTGTTCTGACTTTCGCGTTGTGGGAATTGCAGTAGTTCCTCGATCTACAAGTATAAGTGAAAAGTGGTTCATTCATAACAATCAACGACAACCAGACATAACAAGTAGCATTCAATCGAGAAGATATATCATAAGTATCATAAAGATAACAAATATCAGCGACCATACATTGTGAAAAATATCAGGTACAGCAAAAAAATCTTAAAATGTATGGACATATTAAATATTCTACTGAAATAAATCTTAATATCCCATAGAGTATGGTTAACTAAAATTTTATAAGTAGAGAAACAATCTACACAAAATTATTCTTATTTATAAAGATGATTAAATTTCCTTATGTCATATTTTTGAAAAATTCACAAATAAAACACCTAAACATTTACATTGGTTATGAGTGATGGACGCTTACTGTAGAGGATTCACATATGAGGAAGAAATGCACTTAATACTTCCAGTTCTTCATTGACTGCCGAACACTTGTAACTTAATGTCACCTTGAAATCCAATATTCTCATTTTGACCAACGGATAATTACCACATAAGCTATGATATGTGTACAAATTGTTTTTGAGAAGATAATGGATTCATGAAAGTTCCCTCGTCTAAAGATTCATTTTAAATTATTCTAGATAGCAAAACCTACAACAAATAGTTTAGCGTCAATCTAATGTTTTATTACATGTATATGATTAGCAATTGAGGAATATGGGTATTGGTCATGTGCTCTTAATAACTTATTCCATTTCACTTGTTTCTCAATTGTTTTGTTACATGCACAGCCACCTTCACTTGTGGGTCACGATTATTCCTCTCTGTGTATGTATGTCGCAACAGACATGGAGATCAGTGAACACAGTGAGAAGTCACTCAATCGATTTCACGATACTAAGCTTCCTGGTGAAGCATGGATTTCGCATTTCAATGATGATGAATAGTACTACATAGTACAATTTGTCGACAAGTGACGTGGATATTTATTTCGGAACAAGAACACACCTCAGAGTGATGGGATGTTGTGGATAAGCATTAAGGGTGGCAGAAGTGTAATTGATCTCATCTTACTTTAATCTAACCATTCCATCGACTGACGAACTTTGAGGAATAACTGTTCTCCATCAGTGCATTATTTTGTGAAAGAAACTACCTCATCTCCACCAGTACTAATTGTACGGATACGGTCAATGCTACTGAACAGGCACTTTGTCAATGCTCGTTTGTATGGGAGTGGACAATGACTGTGAAATGTTCCATATTGTTCAGTCTATGAAACCCGCCATGAAGAATCCTTCAATTGAATCATTTTGTGGGAATTTAGTAATTAGTTTTGAAGTTGTGAGCGTATTGTTCATCTGATTTTTGTTTGTAAGAATGGTGTGATCATGAAGAGTGTTGAGTTGATCCAGTGAACAAATGCCGTCCTCTACTCTGGTGAAAATGTTCAGGTTATTTGGATTTGATTTTGACAATACTTTAAAAATGTGTAGTAGAAAAACAAATTTCAATAAATCTGGATCTAGAACCAAGTTGAACATGGAATGACCTGCATTTTGCTTTTTAATTTTCAGACAACATGTACTTGACGAGTGATATATTTCGGATCGCTGTTTCTCTGGGACCCATCAGTTCAGCTTGATACAGTGCAAATGGTCAAACTACACATTTTCAATATTTATCCGTATCCATCTAACTACAATTAATGTTATATTCCACTTCATTCGAATTGACCTATTAATTCATTGAACAGTGAAAATTTTGACGACAAACTCACTTTCAAATCTTCAAAATTGTACACGTATGAAGAATGACACTCTGATTGCAGTACTCACCTACCTAATGATCGCAAAAATGACTGACAGTGTTGGATGAAACACATCACTTGGACAGTGAAAAAGTAACAGATAAACTCAACCAGTAATTTCGATTATCATTTACGCAAACCTTCATTATTCTGCTCGACAGTAAATTACCATAAACTCTTGTTAACTGTAGATATGTCAGTGAAATTTCATCTCACATTAGTCTTTCATTTCCGGCGTAATCTGATGGTTTATTCAGAGTTCCACTCTAGTTTGCTTACTAAGGTGTATTTTGCATCCGGGAAAGTAAAATACAGATTGATGTTTTAGAACAAGCTAGTTATCTGAAGTCTGGAGAATCAATGCGAATGGTGCATTTCAAAGCACTTATTTAGCCAGATTTCTTCATCTTCCATGCAATTTACCCACCAGTAATCCGATCGGTGTCTTCACTACACTCGAATGTAAACTCTTGAAGAAATAAGAAGAAATTATTGGTATTAGAGGGCAAAGCAGTTCTAGCATTTCCTGCTTTTGTGTAGCAAACATAAGGTGTATTAATTACACTGCATCTCAACACTAACAATGTTTCCGGATATATTTGAGTTGTTACCACCTCATTGGTCATCCAGTAACTACCAGTATTCCCTCAGTGTGGAAACACACAACAATCGATTCTATGTACTGAGAAGTGTGGGAATGGCATACATTACAGTGAATAGGAATTTTTCATGTTCGACTGACAGAAGGAAGAAAATTCCTTATCATCAATTCAGACTAATAACCTATTATTATTATTATTATTATTATTATTATTATTATTATTATTATTATTATTATTATTATTATTATTATTATTATTATTATTATTATTATTATCAGTGTCACTCTACTGACCAGTCACACTCCTCGTTCACTATGTAAATTCAGTTTGAATGTTATAGGATAAGTGGGAAAAATTCAACATCTAGTCCTTATCACGTTCAACGCTAATGAAAACCACATACTGAGTGCTTGAGAATATTTCAGAACACATAGAACAGTGTGTTTAGACACATTACTCTGGATTAAGGCCACAAGTGTCTGACTTTCCGATTGTTTCGACAGACACGAGTGATTAGTCAGTCAACAGATAGCACTCACTGACAAAAATTATACAAGATGTTTGGAAATCACATTTCAAAACTAAGTTTAAATGTTCGCTACTAGACTATCAGGCAACAAACTGGAATATATTGAAATTCGAGTTGTCTGCAAAATATACCAGGATTGAATGACCGATTGGTGCGTACTACAGAAGTTTGGATGATTATGCACTATTCGTTTCGTTCATCGGACTATCATTACTTCTAACAATCAAACAGAATCGGATTTAAATACGAAAACTCAAGTGTAGGATTTGTAGAACCTGATCATCATAGAACAATGATATATTTATTAATAGAAAACTAGAAATAACACATCGATTGTTCCTTCATCATACATTCTAAAGCAGTGAAGCAATCAGGTCCAGTATGATTCCACCCTGATCAGCTTGCGGCTTCTCAACTTTGGTCGCTACTGCTGATCCGTTTGTCGACGACGTCTTCCTACCCTGTCCTAATCGTCTCCCTAAATGAAAACAAAAATAATAATTTACGGATTCACAAAATACAATGATAAAATATTTTGATGAGCACGATTCATGAAACCAAAATACTGGTTACATGAGAGAAAATGATACAATCAAAATATAATAACGATTCTTCGACAAATTGAGTTGTGTGAATCATACCTGGTTTCTGCAACTTTCCACTTGGTTTGGAAATTTTATTTGATGCTACACTTTTTGGTGTAGTGGCATCATCTAGAAGGAACGAATTAGTGTAAATTCACACATCGTGATCCACCTTTTGTGTCAGCCTCGATCTCGTTTAGTATCGTGTATAAACACATGCAAATGAAGAGTACCTATATTTTGCAAATAGTGTTATGCATTCAATCACTTCTCACCTTGATTGCGTTCATTGCTGGTGTACAATTATGACGACTGTTCAACGTAATATGTGTGTATTTATATACATGAGTGTAGTGAAGTGAGAACAGGAACGAATGAATTGGAGCAGATTGGCACGTGTCCATCGATTTGTTGGCAATAAACTGTCACCTGTCACACAATATTATGGTCATGTGTTCCAATCGATTTCTACTGTGGTCGAAATAAGGAACTGTAGCTTCCGTAGTAGGTGTCAAAGTGGATAAGTTAGTGGATTGGAAATTTCAGATACGGATTGATATTGATATTCTGTATTGTGCTTTGTCTATAAACGTGTCACTGATATTCAATAACAAAATACATCATTCGAGTCACGTTTGATATTTGTAGTGAGTGTTCGTGTGGTGAGTATGAGTCCACGTTGCAAAGTCACTGCGTCGTTAGTCGGATGACGAGAATGTCATCCATCTGTGATAAGATGAGCCGCGCATTTACATCCTAAATTAAATCAGATAATTTGTCACTTGCCGTTATAATGTCAATTCACAATTTACCGATGTTGCTTCTCACGACTTATCATTCACGCGTTAATTTTTTCTCAGTCACAATTTCATGAAACGTCCTCTATTATCACTTTTCAATTCAGAAACTTGTATTCATATGAAAATGCCGACTTCAGTGTAGAATGTCAAATATTTTCTCTACCTATGGAAGTGATGTGTGTTGAAATGTTGACGAAAATATCTCTACTGAATGTGATTTTGTTAACAGTCAGCCTCATTTATGGAAACGATCTGTTTCACTTACATCGATTTTCCATTCATTATTATTCACATAATGATGAATTGAAATATACATAGTGAAGACTGAATAGTGAATTCTGAATTTGTGTTGATGTGTTGTTATCATATGCAAGCACACTTCACTCCCTCAAATTCATTTGAAGGAAGTTGAATCAGTGACCAGTGGTGTTCAGCCGGGTCAGTTGTGTTGTTGTCACTCACTGATTACAATGGTGAAGGTGTCGTTCAATTTCGTGAAGTAATTGAAGTTCGACATAAATACCGTGGGATGACGGCCAGCTAAGTGATCTGTTTGTTTAGGCCCCCGGCGCCCTACTGATAGTTCCTGCGTTCGAATCTCACGAGGCGGGGTCCTGGATGAGTACAACTGAGGAGTCCCACAATTGGACGAAACCACCGTACTGTACTTCCAGGTTTTCCATGGTGGTCTAGCTTCAACTGACTCATGATCTCAACTGTTGAAATTATATAAATCTCAATGATTTCAATATTTAAGATATGAAAAGTAGTGTATCATTGTGTATATTATTGTACATTTTTGATTTGTCGATATAATAAATTTAACATGATTTGAATATTCCGTACGATGTATTACATGTACAAAAGATAATGAGTTACTTTTCATTTGATACAAATACTAATCATATAAAAATTCAATTCCCAATACATATTTATTGTTACAAAATTAAGGTCTATTTTGGTTATTTCAGGTCACAGATTCAAGAGATGGATAAGCGAAATACTTGAAATGATTTATAAGTGAAGCACGTAATTCTAAAACAACTTCGTGACCAACAGGCAGGATTCCGTAAGGATAGATCGTGTACAGACCAAATTGCAACTCTACGGATCATTGTAGAACAATCAATTGAATGGAATTCATCACTCTACATCAACTTCATAGGCTACGAAAAGGCATTTTATAGCCTGGACAGAACAACACTATGGAAACTTCTTCGACACTACGGCGCACCTCAGAAGATAGTCAATATCATGCAAAATTCATATGATGGATTACACTGCAAAATCGTGCATGGAGGGCAGTTGACAAGGTCGTTCGAAATGAAGATCGGTGTCAGTCAAGGTTGCTTTATCTCACTATTTCTCTTCTCCTGGTGATCGACTGGATCATGAAGACGTCAACATCTGAAGGAAAACGCTGGATACAACGGACATCTAAGATGCAGTTGTATGGTCTAGACTTCTCAGACGATCTGGCCCTTCTATCCCAAACGAAACAACAAATGCAGGAGAAGACGAACAGTGTAGCAGCAGCCTCAGCAGCAGTAGGTCTCAATATACACAAAGGGAAAAGCAAGATTCTCCGATACAACACAGCATGCACCAATCCAATCACAATTGACGGAGAAGATTTAGGAGATGTAAAAACCTTTACATATTTGGGCAGCATCATTGATGAACAGGGTGGATCTGATGCTGATTTGAAGGAGCGGATCGGCAAAGCAAGAGCAGCATATTTACAACTGAGGAACATCTGGAACTCAAAACAACTGTCAACCAACACCAAGGTCAGGATTTTCAATACAAATGTCAAGACAGTTCTACTGTCTACTGAGGCAGAAACCTGGAGAACTACGAAAGCCATCATCCAGAAAATACAGGTGTTTATTAACAGTTGTCTACGCAAAATACTTCAGATCCGTTAGCCAGACACTATTAGCAACAACGTACTGTGGGATAGAACAAACCAGATCCCAGCGGAGGAAGAAATCAGGAAGAAGCGCTGGAAGTGGGTAGGACACACATTGAGGAAAGCACCCAACTGCGTCACAAGACAAGCCCTCACATGGAATCTTCAAGGTCAAAGGAAAAGTGGAAGAGCAAAAAACACATTACGCCGGGAAATGGAGATAGACACGAGAAAAATGAACAAAAGTCGGATGGAACTAGAAAAGAAGGCACAGGGCAGAGTGGGTTGGAGAATGCTGGTCGTCGGCCTATGCTACATTAGGAGTAACAGGCAAAAGTAAGTAAGTAGGTATCGTAATTCTAAAATCTATATCACTTACATGATACCGTATAATATTTGATTAGCTGCTATAAGACAAGTGTTTAATGTAGTTAAATAAGAGCGATTAGTTCAAACAAATTATGATGTAGTGTCATTCACCAGAAGTAATAAATTACACATAAGTTAATCCTTCATCATACATCTGAAGCAGTGCACCGATCTGGTCCAGTATGATCCCACTCTGATCAGATTTCGCTTTCTCAATTTCGATCGCTTCTACTGGTTGGTTTGTCGACAACTTATTCATAACCATTGCTAATGATCTTCATAAATGAAGACAAAAATAATAATCTACGAATTCACAAAATGCAATGGTAACCTATTTTGATAAAAACGATTCATGAAACCAAAACACTCATTACACACGAGAAAAACAATACAACCAAAATATAATAATGAAATCTCCAATAAATTGAGGTGATTATAAATCTACGTTGCAAAGTTACTGAATCGTTAGTCGGGTGACGGGAATGTCATCCATCTCTGATAAAATAAGTCACACATTGACATCCTAAATTAAGCAAGATAACTGAAGTCTAGGAAATCAATGCAGCTGATGCCTTTCAAAGTACAGACTTAATTAGATTTCTTCTATGATTCAATTCACTCTTCAGTAATCCGATCGCCGTCTGTACTACGCTTGTATGTAAACTGTGAACAAGATGAGAACAAACAATTGGTATTGGAAAGCATAATTTTTCACTTCTTGCAATTGTTGTTGTTTCCATGTGGTTCAACCGTTGTGTTCACTAACTGTTGTATTCAATTTCAAACTGTGTGTGTCTCAACTCACATACATACATAGTTCTCACTGAATCCTTACTGTCCACGATAATTCTTGATCAGATAATTTGTCAAATACTGAATAACATTAATATTATGTTTTGTGTTTTGACTATTGTCGTGTCACTGATATTCACTAGGGAAATACATCATTCAAGTCATCATGCCATGAAATTAGTCTCTCTCAATTTATGTTATTATTGCATCAGATTGAGGTACGATTCAGTATGTCAAAATAGTGTCGAATACTTCCAGTTCACTCAATTGAATTTGAGGAAGTGCAGTGTGCTCGCATATGATAACAACACATCAATACAAATTCAGAATTCACTATTCAGTCTTCACTATGTATATTTCAATTCATCATTATGTGAATAATAATGAATGGAAAATCGATGTAAGTGAAACAGATCGTTTCCATAAATGAGGCTGACTGTTAACAAAATCACATTCAGTAGAGATATTTTCGTCAACATTTCAACACACATCACTTCCATAGGTAGAGAAAATATTTGACATTCTACACTGAAGTCGGCATTTTCATATGAATACAAGTTTCTGAATTGAAAAGTGATAATAGAGGACGTTTCATGAAATTGTGACTGAGAAAAAATTAACGCGTGAATGATAAGTCGTGAGAAGCAACATCGGTAAATTGTGAATTGACATTATAACGGCAAGTGACAAATTATCTGATTTAATTTAGGATGTAAATGCGCGGCTCATCTTATCACAGATGGATGACATTCTCGTCATCCGACTAACGACGCAGTGACTTTGCAACGTGGACTCATACTCACCACACGAACACTCACTACAAATATCAAACGTGACTCGAATGATGTATTTTGTTATTGAATATCAGTGACACGTTTATAGACAAAGCACAATACAGAATATCAATATCAATCCGTATCTGAAATTTCCAATCCACTAACTTATCCACTTTGACACCTACTACGGAAGCTACAGTTCCTTATTTCGACCACAGTAGAAATCGATTGGAACACATGACCATAATATTGTGTGACAGGTGACAGTTTATTGCCAACAAATCGATGGACACGTGCCAATCTGCTCCAATTCATTCGTTCCTGTTCTCACTTCACTACACTCATGTATATAAATACACACATATTACGTTGAACAGTCGTCATAATTGTACACCAGCAATGAACGCAATCAAGGTGAGAAGTGATTGAATGCATAACACTATTTGCAAAATACAGGTACTCTTCATTTGCATGTGTTTATACACGATACTAAACGAGATCGAGGCTGACACAAAAGGTGGATCACGATGTGTGAATTTACACTAATTCGTTCCTTCTAGATGATGCCACTACACCAAAAAGTGTAGCATCAAATAAAATTTCCAAACCAAGTGGAAAGTTGCAGAAACCAGGTATGATTCACACAACTCAATTTGTCGAAGAATCGTTATTATATTTTGATTGTATCATTTTCTCTCATGTAACCAGTATTTTGGTTTCATGAATCGTGCTCATCAAAATATTTTATCATTGTATTTTGTGAATCCGTAAATTATTATTTTTGTTTTCATTTAGGGAGACGATTAGGACAGGGTAGGAAGACGTCGTCGACAAACGGATCAGCAGTAGCGACCAAAGTTGAGAAGCCGCAAGCTGATCAGGGTGGAATCATACTGGACCTGATTGCTTCACTGCTTTAGAATGTATGATGAAGGAACAATCGATGTGTTATTTCTAGTTTTCTATTAATAAATATATCATTGTTCTATGATGATCAGGTTCTACAAATCTTACACTTGAGTTTTCGTATTTAAATCCGATTCTGTTTGATTGTTAGAAGTAATGATAGTCCGATGAACGAAACGAATAGTGCATAATCATCCAAACTTCTGTAGTACGCACCAATCGGTCATTCAATCCTGGTATATTTTGCAGACAACTCCAATTTCAATATATTCCAGTTTGTTGCCTGATAGTCTAGTAGCGAACATTTAAACTTAGTTTTGAAATGTGATTTCCAAACATCTTGTATAATTTTTGTCAGTGAGTGCTATCTGTGGACTGACTAATCACTCGTGTCTGTCGAAACAATCGGAAAGTCAGACACTTGTGACCTTAATCCAGAGTAATGTGTCTAAACACACTGTTCTATGTGTTCTGAAATATTCTCAAGCACTCAGTATGTGGTTTTCATTAGCGTTGAACGTGATAAGGACTAGATGTTGAATTTTTCCCACTTGTCCTATAACATTCAAACTGAATTTACATAGTGAACGAGGAGTGTGACTGGTCAGTAGAGTGACACTGATAATAATAATAATAATAATAATAATAATAATAATAATAATAATAATAATAATAATAATAGGTTATTAGTCTGAATTGATGATAAGGAATTTTCTTCCTTCTGTCAGTCGAACATGAAAAATTCCTATTCACTGTAATGTATGCCATTCCCACACTTCTCAGTACATAGAATCGATTGTTGTGTGTTTCCACACTGAGGGAATACTGGTAGTTACTGGATGACCAATGAGGTGGTAACAACTCAAATATATCCGGAAACATTGTTAGTGTTGACATGCAGTGTAATTAATACACCTTATGTTTGCTACACAAAAGCAGGAAATGCTAGAACTGCTTTGCCCTCTAATACCAATAATTTCTTCTTATTTCTTCAAGAGTTTACATTCGAGTGTAGTGAAGACACCGATCGGATTACTGGTGGGTAAATTGCATGGAAGATGAAGAAATCTGGCTAAATAAGTGCTTTGAAATGCACCATTCGCATTGATTCTCCAGACTTCAGATAACTAGCTTGTTCTAAAACATCAATCTGTATTTTACTTTCCCGGATGCAAAATACACCTTAGTAAGCAAACTAGAGTGGAACTCTGAATAAACCATCAGATTACGCCGGAAATGAAAGACTAATGTGAGATGAAATTTCACTGACATATCTACAGTTAACAAGAGTTTATGGTAATTTACTGTCGAGCAGAATAATGAAGGTTTGCGTAAATGATAATCGAAATTACTGGTTGAGTTTATCTGTTACTTTTTCACTGTCCAAGTGATGTGTTTCACCCAACACTGTCAGTCATTTTTGCGATCATTAGGTAGGTGAGTACTGCAATCAGAGTGTCATTCTTCATACGTGTACAATTTTGAAGATTTGAAAGTGAGTTTGTCGTCAAAATTTTCACTGTTCAATGAATTAATAGGTCAATTCGAATGAAGTGGAATATAACATTAATTGTAGTTAGATGGATATGGATAAATATTGAAAATGTGTAGTTTGACCATTTGCACTGTATCAAGCTGAACTGATGGGTCCCAGAGAAACAGCGATCCGAAATATATCACTCGTCAAGTACATGTTGTCTGAAAATTAAAAAGCAAAATGCAGGTCATTCCATGTTCAACTTGGTTCTAGATCCAGATTTATTGAAATTTGTTTTTCTACTACACATTTTTAAAGTATTGTCAAAATCAAATCCAAATAACCTGAACATTTTCACCAGAGTAGAGGACGGCATTTGTTCACTGGATCAACTCAACACTCTTCATGATCACACCATTCTTACAAACAAAAATCAGATGAACAATACGCTCACAACTTCAAAACTAATTACTAAATTCCCACAAAATGATTCAATTGAAGGATTCTTCATGGCGGGTTTCATAGACTGAACAATATGGAACATTTCACAGTCATTGTCCACTCCCATACAAACGAGCATTGACAAAGTGCCTGTTCAGTAGCATTGACCGTATCCGTACAATTAGTACTGGTGGAGATGAGGTAGTTTCTTTCACAAAATAATGCACTGATGGAGAACAGTTATTCCTCAAAGTTCGTCAGTCGATGGAATGGTTAGATTAAAGTAAGATGAGATCAATTACACTTCTGCCACCCTTAATGCTTATCCACAACATCCCATCACTCTGAGGTGTGTTCTTGTTCCGAAATAAATATCCACGTCACTTGTCGACAAATTGTACTATGTAGTACTATTCATCATCATTGAAATGCGAAATCCATGCTTCACCAGGAAGCTTAGTATCGTGAAATCGATTGAGTGACTTCTCACTGTGTTCACTGATCTCCATGTCTGTTGCGACATACATACACAGAGAGGAATAATCGTGACCCACAAGTGAAGGTGGCTGTGCATGTAACAAAACAATTGAGAAACAAGTGAAATGGAATAAGTTATTAAGAGCACATGACCAATACCCATATTCCTCAATTGCTAATCATATACATGTAATAAAACATTAGATTGACGCTAAACCATCCCTCATCTAACATTTCGTTGGGCATATACCACTCATTTACCACTCATGCCCACTCACATCATTACCTTCAACTCTACTGTGAAAAACAAACAAAATAGTTTAAACAGCATCAAATTCTCTTCCGTTTCCTTCTTCCTCCTCTTCTACCTCTTCAATATTGCAATATGAGCAATTTACTTCAACTTCCATGTAGTGTGTATACTCTTCACATTGTCATGAATAAATTCAGTTGATCGACTTCAGGTTCCCATGTGTTAATATTTTTCATAGTGCAGTCCAATTAGGACAGATCAAATTGTCAATACAACTATTGTCTGTAATACTGCTATAAAAGTGATAAATTTCCAAACTTTTTGTTGTTTTGTTTAGTTAAGCTACTTGTATGTACACTGGGTGTGTGATTTTCAATATTTATTTATTAATGTTTCTGACATTTCTGAGACTTTTGTTCAATTCGATAAAGATGTAATGTGTGTGTTTATGTATTTATTGGACGAATTATTGACGTTTTATGTGCCATCTGTTGTTGTATTTGTCAAATGTAATTCTGTATTAGTGGAGGATATGATATAGAATGTGAAATTCTTCGTTGATAATATTATGCATTTGTAATACTTATAGTGCACCAGCTGGTTGATAATCCTTTCAGCTCATAAAATTGAACACTGTGCTTCTGAGATTTCCTTCAACGTCTTGTTATACTCACAGTTATATAATATATCCTTGTGGGTCAGGGTAATTTTACATTAGTTTTCAGGAGAACCAGACATCATCCGGACTTTCATGTGACAACCCAAACAGTACAGCTCAACCCCGTTTAGGGGAACCAGACACCGTATAGGCTTTAACGCTACAATCTGTATAGTACAGCTCAATCCTTTAGCGCAACCACACACGTACCAAGCACCCTGGTGGACCATTCAACTTCTTGTAGCTATATAAAATAGACAATTTATAAACCTTTTTATAACTATCAGTTGCATCAAACTCCACAAAAAATATGTTTCAAAGCAAGAGTTAATTACTAAAAACAAAACATCTTACTGCAATCAAATACCTGAAAGAAAGGGGAGATATTTGGGAAATCAGTGAGGAACAACAGCAATCGTTGATGTGCTGTGTGTACACTAAGTACTATTGAGTAACAAAAAAGATACAGTTATCTTTTAATAAAATCAATGAAAATTACATTAACTTTCGTGACAGAATATCAATATATGGAAAGCAGGTAGTTCGAGGATAATACGATTTTATGTAAGGTAAAAAACGTTTTATAAGGTTTTGTAATTACTACATTGACAGATCGTTACCATAAGCTGCTGGAACTTAATATTCCTACTTTAAACATTGAAAGTGTATCTAACCACAAGATTTTCCTTATTAGGTTTGCATAAACATGTTTATTAAATACCATTTTGTTGTACCAGTGAATTTTGTGAGATGAGTGGTTAGAAAAGCAGATGGAATATAATGTAAAATTTTTAGAATCATTTTACCATGTCTAAGATACATTCACGAAATACCATTGTGTTTTGTGATTCCGTAGTCTGTTTTGAAAGTTGCTGATATTTCAGGGGAAACGTAACTACTAAACCACATAAGAAAATTGTCCAATCCATGCAATACATTCTTGAATTGATTTGATATAGCAAACAGCTTTTGTGGTTTGTGGCGGTCGGTATTTGGTATAATTCTTAAACTTCGTATACTGCTCTCCCTGATAACCGTTACTAGATAACGCTCAACAGTGTATAAATCAGGAGACGATGTGTTGATTACGTTTATCATCGCACGACACATAGATCACTAGAACCAAGAGCAAGCGGGCGATAGAGTGGGCCGAATAAACAGGAATAAAATGTACATGTATATATATACATAGGAAAATGAATGCGACGTCGAATCATTTAAGCGACTAACATTAAAGCTAGCAGAATGATTATATGAGTAGGCGGTAAACAATGCTCAAGTATATATGTTCATACAACCGCAACAATAATAAAGGTACAATGATATAGATAAACTGTTGTTGTACGAATGACTCTGTCTGTTAAATAAGTTAATAAATGGTCTGAAACAAATTAAATGTGAATAAACTCAAATGTAAGTGAGCTGCTATATGTTCTAACCAGTCAGCCTACAATAAATATAAAACCTGTTTTATCATACCTAACAAGCTAATTCGATGGTACGATAATTTTTAAGGATATATATTGATTCGTTGGTTCCTCAAATATGTGGATGTGAACTTATTGGTTTCACCCTTCTTTTTCAATTTATTGTATTCTATGAAGTTAACCTCTCAGTTTCTATATATTTCGTTTCTCTCTTATTTCATCACAGAGTCGTTTGCAACTAACAGTTTGTAATTTAAATAAGTCTTTGAGTACTAGATTCAATTTACTATTATCGGTTATCACGATATTAGTATCATCACTATTTTTAAACTTAATTTAAGGAATAATGATA